CTCATTATCCAGAAAGACAAAATACAGAATGATGGTTCGTTCTTCATGTTTTCATCAATTTCCATTTACTTATTCAGTAAGTGTTTACTGAGCTCCTACTTCGTCATGTACTGTTTCAGACTCTGGGAATATAAAAGTGAAAAGCACAAAGTTCCTACTTTTATGGAGAGATAATAAACACAAAACAGACAAAATACTGTTCAATTTTAAATAATTATAAGTGCAAAAAGACACACCACGTAGTAATAGAAATGAAGATGGCTTGGAGACGTAGCGGTGATTATTATTTTAGGTACAGTGGTCAGGGAAGGTCCCCCTGGAGAAGCCACACTTCAGCAGAGACCTGAAAGAAGTAGAGAAGTGAGCCACAGGAAGATATGAAGAAAGAGGGCTCCAGGCAGGGAAATGACAACCACTCTGAGATGGGAATTAACTGAGACCTTTCTGAGGGTTGGAAAACAAGGCCAGTGTAGCTCAAGTGTAGTGTAGGAAGTGATGCTGGGGTGGTGAGAAGGAACTTGAATATGCAGGACATCCTAGGATATGTTAAGGCATTTTGAGTTTTGTTTTTGTTTTTGTTTTTGTTTTTTTTACTTTCAATGGGATGCCACTGCTGGTGTAAGTATGGAAATGATATAATCAATTTATGATTTAAATAATAACTGGCTGATGTGAGGGAAATGGAGTAGAAGCAGGTTGCATAGCAGTCTGAGTGAGAGATTATGCAGACTGAAACTAGGGCTATGGCTTAGTGAAGATGAAGAAAAATGGTCAAATTTGGGTTATAACGTGGAGATAGACTGACTGGACCTGTTGATTATTATTTGGGATTATTTGGACGTAAGGTGAATTCTAGGTTTTAGCAAACAATTGCTGAATGGTAGGCCATTTACCAAGATGAAGAAGATGGAGGGAACCTTGTAAGAGTTTTGGCTGGTATCAGTGAATGAGAGAATCAGGAATATACACCTACTGAAAACAGCTTGAATTACAAAGACGGAAATGTGGGAATGTGAGGAGTGACTAAATTTGGTCATAGAAAAGTTAATTCCTACATGATAAACAACTAGGGCTTCCGCCAAAATGAAATCATATTCTAAGTGAAATCATGGTTTTGTGATAAACAACAGACTGTCATTCAAAACTGCATCTAGGATGCAATGATAATTCAGGAATGGAGAGAAACATGAAGAAACAGTAAAAGGAAAAAAACAAAAAACAAAAACAAAAAAACACACCAGAACAGACAGTAGAAAAAGGTATGCCTTTTGGTGTGGCAGCCTAGTTCAAAAGAAACAATTGTCTTTCTCTTAGAACAACCCCCCTTATCCCCAGTCCTGGCCAGCCACATTTCACACCCTGCACAATTCACACCCCATCCACAGCTGACTGGACTAGGGAAGTAAGCCTGAGTCAAGTTGAGCCACATGTGGCTTCTGTTCTAAAATCTGAAATTAAGATCAAATGATATTTGTGTTCATTTTTAGTCAGATTTAGGTTTTTACTTTAATATGCTAAAACAGGATGGGTAAGTTGACCATACGTCACTATGTGGATCTAAGAAGTAGAGAATATTGGTTGGAAGAGAGCAGAGGGAAGCAGGTGATGAGAAAAAAGCAGCAGTGGGGGAAGGAAAGAGTTCTGACCAGAGTCCAGGCTGCTAGCTGTCTTCATACACCTCTGTGGCCTTACAGTATACCCTTCCTGATAGTATGCATTCTGTTACTCACATATAGGGAAGCAAACAAAGATCACTCAGAACAATTATTCTGAAGATTACTTCATTTTGATATAATGTTTTGTCAGTAAAATAGCATAAAAAGAGGAGGGCGGTAGACTGAGTGGCACATGTCCCTCTCCCCTCATTGATACATTCTCTATCTACTGTCTCACAGAGACAGTGATATCAGAGAATAATGTGCTACTGTCCCAGAAGGGAAAAAAGAAATCTGCCTGTTAAACATCAGTATGTGATAGAACTAGAAACATTAAAAAGTACATGAATCCAGTTGGGAAAATTGCAAACACATACACACACATAGCATGCTGACTCGAGGATATATTACCTGTTATAACCATACAAACGTACTAAAATTTCAGGACAATTCCTTTTTAAACTTTCTATTGGTGTAATATAAGAATAGAAAAGTACATGTAAGTGTACCAAATTTTTACAAACTGAATTTTTCTGTACAATCAGCACCTAGATCAATGAGTATACTATTACACAACTGTTTTGTTTTTTGTACTTAGCTGGGGTGTAAGTGTACAATCAGCACCTAGATCAATGAGTATACTATTACACAACTGTTTTGTTTTTTGTACTTAGCTGGGGTGTAAGTGTATCTGTATACATCTACAACATCTAATAAATCTTTAAATGAATGTACTGAGTATAAAGTTGATTATCCTCTTTTCCCTCTTTTATGAACATTTCTATGATTTCCACAAGTTATCTCATTTAACCTTTTCCACAATCCTGTTAGGTTAATTGCCATGCCTATTTTACAAGACTAAATTGAGGCTCAAAGATATTTATTGACATGTCCAAGTTCACACATCTAAAAACCAAACCTAGCTCTGTCTCACTGCCAAAGTATTATTAACTGCTATACCAGCTGCCCGACTGATTCTGGTAAAGTGACAGTGGGCTATGGCCAGCAAGTTTACTTGATTAATTTATTATGTATAATAACAAGAAATGAGGTTTTAAAATGGGTATTTAAGAAAAGTATAAAACTGCCATTATTAAATGGAGAAGTAACAAAATAAAAATAGTGATTGCAAGAGATGATTCTAGACTTATATATTTAAGAATAGGAATTGTGGCTGGGTGCGGTAGCTCACGTCTGTAATTCCAGCACTTTGGGAGGTGGAGATGGGCGGATTTCGTGAGGTCAGGAGTTCAAGTCCAGCCTGGCTAATGTGGTAAAACCCCATCTCTACTAAAAATACAAAAATTAGCCAGCCGTGGTAGCACACGCCTATAGTCCCAGCTACTTGGGAGTCTGAGGCAGGAGAATCACTTCAACCCAAGAAGCGGAGGTTGCAGTGAGCCAAGATCAAGCCATTGCACTCCCAGCCTGAGTGACAGAGTGAGACTCTATCTCAAAAAAAAAAAAAAACAAGAATAGGAGTTAATGGCAATTAAAAGTGCTTCTTCTTTCTTTTTTAAAGCATGCCAGCAACAGTCACAGAATGATGGAGAACAGGATTAAGTTTATACACATTTGAAGAAAGATTCAACTGAAGTTGGAAAGGTCTACGTAAGATAAGAAAATGGAAGAGTTGAAACCCATTACCTAGTGTGCAAACCTAGGAAACCAGAATTGGTAAATATGTTATGTGTGATGAAAATCTGAAATGGGGTGGCTATTTGGGTACTGTGAGAAGATGAATTTGATATTCAATATGTACATAATCAGGAGCTGTGTTGGCATCCTCTCCAGGTTTTATTCACTCCCATTTCAAACTTTTCATCCCTCACCATAGCAAAAAGATCAAAACACTTTTATGGGAATAAATAATTTGGAAAGACTGGGCTATAAAGCCAATTAAAATTGGTGTTGATAGCTCAATAACAGATTTGGTTCAACTGGCTATTTCTAGAAGCCTTATGCAAAAGTTATTTTTCCTTTTCATCATTGGTACTTAAGCTAGTTAGGTATCAGAGTTCTCCCTCCCTCCCTCCCTCCCTCCTTCCCCTCTCCCTCCCTTCCTCTTTCCTTCCCTCCTTCCTGTTTTTGATGTGGGTAAAACTCATAGGACCTGTGCTTCTGTCACTGTGGCTGATTTCTCAAGGTATTGGATAATGATTTTGGTTAAACAACTCCGAATAATAGAGTATATCTTAATTCTGGATATATTTTATAGATTTGTCTATTTACGTGATGCTGATAAATACCCCTCCTTGGGCCCTGTCTTGAATGTTCAAAGAATCATCTGTTCTGGTTTCATATTCAATAAATGAATCACCAAAGTGTTCCAGCACATATTAGACACCATTAAATACATGGGAAGCTTTTAGCCAGTTGGGTCTGATTTATACAGGCAAATATTACCTACTTAATGCAATTCAAAGAGCTTCTCAACAGTATATATTTTTGTAAATGTGTATGCATTTATTTTCACCATTAACTTACAAAACTTGTGTTCCAATTTAAAATATTAATTTATGTTTCTTCCTTGAAAAAACTGCTACATTCTTTCTTTTTAATTAACTCATTTCTTTTCTTGAAAGAAAAGTCAATAATCTCTATGCTCCAAGGTCTATATCACATTCAACCTTCTTCCACGTCTCTCAAATTAAAAAACAAAAGCAATGAAGAAACAAACTCAAGAAATGGGAAAAAAAGAGTTAAAGAACGACTAAAGGCACCAAAGTCTCGCTTGATCTCCTAATAATAGAATGGAAATTAATTTAATACACTTATAGCATTATGTAGAGGACTGCATCTTTCAGACTTTGAGTCATCAATAGAATATATCAATTTATTCCATACATTTTCTTTCTTTTCTTTTTGTCTGATCTTTTTTCTTTTCTTTTCTTTCCTTTTTTTATTTTTATTTTTTTGAGACAGGGTCTCTCTCTCTCGCCCAGGCTTGAGTACAGTGGCGTGACCTTGGCTCACTGCAACCCTCCACCTCCCGAGTTCAAGCAATTCTTGTGCTTCAGCCTCCAAAGTAGTTGGAATTACAGATGTGCACCACCACACCCAGCTAATTTTATTATTTTTATTAGAAATGGCGTTTCACTATGTTGGCAAGGCTGGTCTGGAACTCCTGACCTTAAGTGATCTGCTTGCCTCAGCCTCCCAAAGTGCTGAGATTACAGGCTTGAGCCACCATGCCCACCTTATTCCACACATTTTCTAATAAATACTTCACACCTTTATGCTGTAAAATGTATGGCTTATCACAGATACGCATTTCTTAAATGATGATTCTGTAAAAGGAAGAGATGACTAAGAGTTGCACCATTGCTGTTACTTCATACTTACAGCGACTGCCTCCAGGATTTGTTTAACAGCATCTGCAGCATCTCGCTCACTGTAATATCCCTTTTCCACAATCCTGGAACAAAAAGAAAGGAAATGCTTCTCAGGCACATTCATTCAGAAGAGTGGATATTAAAAGAAGTTAAGTACATTAATGTTAAAGATGGTGCACGTAAACAAGTGAAACAAGCTACCATACTACCATGGGAAAGATTTCCACAAACTGACACTCTAAAAGTCTTTGAGTTTACTTAGGAAAATGAAATACTCTTATTTTTCCTTGGCTTGAACTATCCGTTGCATTTGAGGAAAAAACACTTTGTCTGTTTTAAACTTTGTTTTGCGAATCATTTTAAACATACGCCAGTAGATATTATACAATGAAACACCCCCATGTAATTGTCACATAGCTTTAACTATAAATTCATGAAGTTTTATTTGCTTAATTACTTCCACTCCTTCCTTCTTATTTTGAAGCACACATTGGACATTATATAATTTCATTTCTAAATAGTTAAGGAGGTTATCTCTAAAAGATAAGGGACCCTCTAAAAATCATAGTCATAATTCCAATATCACATACCTATAATTTTTTAATATTATCAAATATGCAATGTTTCAAATTTCTAATTGTCTGAAACATGTTAAATTACTTGTTTGAATAAGTATCCAAATAAGGTCCATGAAATTTGATTAGTTAGTATATCTCTTAGTCTCTTTTAACCTGTAGTTTCTCCCTCTCTTTCTCTCCCTCCATTCTTCCCTTTTTTTTTTTTTTTTTTTTTTTTGAGTCGGAGTCTCGCTCTGTCTCCCAGGCTGGAGTGCAGGGGCCGGATCTCAGCTCACTGCAAGCTCCGCCTCCTGGGTTCACGCCATTCTCCTGCCTCAGCCTCCCGAGTAGCTGCAACTACAGGCGCCCGCCACTACGCCCGGCTAGTTTTATGTATTTTTTAGTAGAGACGGGGGTTTCACCATGTTAGCCAGGATGGTCTCAATCTCCTGACCTCGTGATCCGCCCCTCTCGGCCTCCCAAAGTGTTCGGATTACAGGTTTGAACCACCGGGCCCGGCCCCATTCTTCCCTTTAATCCCTTCTCCATCTCTGTTTCATTTTTGTTGTGTTTCTTTTTTGAAAGCTGGTCACTTGTTCTTTAGTCTCCCTGCCTGGCAATGTGATTCTCTAAAAAAAAATGGGGCTTTGTTGTACAGGTTATTTCATCACCCAGGTATTAAGCCTAGCACCCATAAGTTAGTTTTCCTGATCTTCTTTCTCCTTCCTCCCACCCTCCACCCTCCTATAGACCCCAATGTGTGTTGTTCCTCTCTGTATCCATGTATTCTCATCATTTAGCTTCCACTTGTAAGTGAGAACATGTGGTATTTGGTTTTCTGTTCCAGCGTTAGTTTGCTAAGGAAAATGGCCTCCAGCTCCATCCATGTCCCTTCAAAGGACATGATCTCATTTCTTTTTATGGCTGCATAGTATTGCATGGTGTATATGTACATTTTCTTTATTTAATCTGAACCTAATCAAGACCCCAGCATTATCTATTAATAAAAAAAAGGGGGGGGGGGCAGAGAAATAGCTCCGAAGACATCAAGGGGATAGAATCACATTTGATTCTAGAGGATTACATTTCATTCTATAGCCTTGATATCTTTGGAGCTATTTCTCTGCCCTCTCTACTTTTTATTAATGGATAGCATTAGGGTCTTGATTAGACTCAGGTTGAATTTTTAGCAAATACACTTTATAGGGAGTATTGTGTATTTTCACAAGTTACATGTTCAATTATGCTCCATTTCATGTTGATAACAGTAATTGATTATCAATGCCTAGATCCATCAAGTCATTAGCAGTTTCAAGTTGATAAAATCTATCATTGCTTCTTTGTTAGCTAAAAATTTTCTAGTAATACAATTCTTATAGGAAAGAGGGGATAAATCATTAGTTTTTTAACTTACCAGTTTTCAAAATAATGAGTTCATTCACCAACATTTTCAGTGACCAGTTAGTGTTTTTGTTCATCTTCTGGTATCATTTTGAAAGTATGGATTTAACCATATTTTATATGTTTCAATCTGCTCTAGCTCTTCCCGGGTGAGTAGAAGGCTATGCAGGTTGGCTTCTGAAGTCTTTGGTGGTTCTTTTTCTATCCAGTATAATACAATATCTGAGGTTTATTTTGTACATTTGCTGCCTCAAACCTAGACTAAGTCATTGTCTTCTAGAAGTACACTTTTAGTGGCAGATAGTATTTTTCTAATTTTACATTTTATTCTTCAATTAAAAAATAAATATATATGTACATATGTTGATATTCCCCATTTCCTAGACAAACTATCATATTAATATGTACAAAATGTTTTATATATGTTTTTACCATGTTGTCCATTTTATGTGCTTTTCCTCTTTAATTTTACTTTTTTGCATTTAGGAGTGTTTGTATTTTTGTTTTAATGTTTTTAACATTAGTTTCTTCTTTTTTGGTTTGTTCTGTACTCTCAGCAATACTGACATTAACTAGCTGATATGGTTTGGATTTTCGGGATTTGTGTTCCCACCCAAATCTCATGTCAAACTGGAGGAGGGGCCCGGTGGGAGGTGATTGGATCATGGGGGAGGATTTCTCCCTTGCCATTATCATGATTGTGAGTGACTTGTCATGAGATCTTATGGTTTAAGTGTGTGTCACTTCCCCCTTTGTGCTGTCTCTCTCCTGCTCTGCCATGGGAAGATGTGCCTTGCTTCCCCTTCACCTTCTGCCATGATAGTTAAGTTTCTTGAGACCTCTGCAGCCATGTGGAACTGGGGGTCAATTAAACTCTTTTCTTTATAAATCACCCAGTCTCAGGTAGTTCTTTATAGTGTGTGAGAACAGACTAATACACTAGCAATCCAGCTAGTATGAACTTACAATGCAGATACAATATATAACTGTCAAAATTGAGAAGAAATAAGAACAGCTTGAAAAATATAAACTTCTTGATTGCTGTATAATTAGCAACAAGTAAAAGAATATTATTTCAAAGTAATAGGAGCAAAGGGAGCCTCATTATCTTAAGTAGGCGACAATTTTCTTCTTCTGATACATGATGTGATTTTCAAAAAATCTGATGACAATCTGATTTTCTCCAAATAATTGACTTGCTCTTTTTGCATGAATGTGGGCAAAGAATTCTTCTTTTAATTTAAAGTATTTTAAGACGTGTTTAATGAGAAACATGTTAGTTGTTCTGGGTTGCGTTATTTTGATTTGTGGCATAATCCTTCAATTTAGAGTGCTTTCATTATTTTTTTAAATTGCAGGAATATTTTCTTGAAGTAGAATGTTTTCTTCCATTGCCTTGGTTTTCTTCTTTGGGGTGTGCAATTATACATATGTAAGAATTTTTCTACCTTTGATTTATATTGTTTTTCTACAGTTTTCTTAGTTTTAGCTTATTTTGTAACACTATCTTATTTTCATTTTTTTTTTTTTTTGTGGGTGTTTCTTCCTGACATGCTTTCACTGCCTAAAGGAACTTTATTCTCCTCCTTATTGTCTGTCCTCTATTGACCTCCAGCTCCATCCATGTCCCATAATCATTCTCTATTGGAACTAACTGAGATACTTTTCTGTTGCTGTCCATTTTTAAGCCAAGTCGGTTTACTTAACCTTTCGACAGAGTGATACTTCAGGATATCTTTTTTAGTTTCATGGCTCTTAACTTTCTGGTTATGTTCATGAAGCATTCAAAAATATGCCCTCATTCTTTCTGAGATCTCTTCCCTCCCCTGGAACTTCATTCCTTTGCCTTTACCGTCTCTACACTGATTAATTTGGATACCCTTCCCAGCAGTTTTTCCTAAGTGTAGAACATTTTCCCCAAGGGACTTTAGATTTTTGTTTCAGGAGTTCACAAGACCTTGACAATGAATTAGCTTTTTAGACCTTACTGCAGGTGCACCCCTTGTACTTTTCAGAAATTTGGGTGGTAAAAATCTCTCCCAATTTCGGCTTCTTTTTTTTTTTTTTTTTTTATTGACCTATGCTTCTTTCAAATAACTTGACGATTTGAGAGACTTGAGTGTTTGCCTACTTTGGGGTCTCTCATTTGTCTTCTTGCTTCCCTTGCTTCTTCGTGTACAAGTGATAATTCCATGTGGCTCTTCCTGTTGTCATTAGCTGGTCGTCACTCACTTGTATGTTAGGCTTCATGTGGATACCCTGTCACCTGGTTTTGCTGTAGATATTGTCATTGAGTTTTTGATTTTTTAGAACTAGTTGCTGTCTAGTCTTATGAGGAGCTTTTGGAAGACTGAAAAACTACTTTGTTGCTATGTCTAACTTTCCAGAATTTCAGGAGAAAACACATTTCTAATAGCACTGTAGATTACCACCTTGCATAAGATGACTTCAGCTGGCACAAAGTTTGAATATGGTCATTTCAAAACATAAAGGACAGTTTCAACAATGTTTGTAATTTTAAATAGAAACTTTTCTTAGACAGTACCTCAAATAGCATTTTTTCAGAAAGTACTTTTCTTTGATTTCTGTTTTCTTTAGATGTTGTGACAAGAAGTTTTAAGTTCTGAAAGTAGCTGGTATTAAAAGTTGAATTTAAAATCTATAAAATGTTTCCAAAATAGGAGATGGGGTGGTGGTGAGAAGAAGCAGAACAAAATAGGTATGTCAAAAGTAAAAAATGTATTAAAAGAAAAGACCTCAATGATTATAGTTATTAAAATTCAGAAAAAATATATTGATGCAAAAATTTCAATTATCTTGTTTTCCTTATTTAGTTAATTAGAACATTGGCAAGCAAGGCAAATTCATCATCTTTTTATTTTTGGGATACTTTACCAGCACTAGGGTCAAATGAAAAGAGAAAATAGATTACAATGTTCAGGGAATGACTACTCATTGGTTCTTGAGTATCATTTTCTTATGATATTTACTTACAAAACTATGAAATTTTCCAATTCACGATTAGGTTAAATGGTCTAATTATAAAAATGTAATTGAAATGCTTCCTGGGGCTATACTTTCTGAACATTTTGAAATTAAGTATGAGGGAAGGGGAAAAGAAGTAC